AATTATATTACAAACAACTTTTATTTAAACAATTTTTATAAAAAATTATTTTTTTTACATTTTGTCAAATTTCTCGAATACAGACCATTTTAGGAAAATTTTGCATAAAACAAAAATTATAGATAATTATATTAGAAGTAACTTTTATTTAAACAATTTTCTTCTCCAAACATAAATAACAGATATATTCCATAAAATATAAAAACGGCCTCCCATAAAGTACCCCCCCAGATGTTCCGACTTTGTCCAAAATCTAATCATTTCACGTCAGGCCGAAATAAACCTTAAGTTTAAAATTTAATGTTTTTTTCTTTATCCATTTTTGAGTTTTCTTCAAATTTCGAAATTTACACATTTTCTCAAATATCTTGATACGGTCCATTTTAGAGAAATTATGTATAGGACAAAAATTATAGAGAATTATATTACAAACAACTTTTATTTGAACAATTTTTATAAAAAATTATTTTTTTTACATTTTGTCAAATTTCTCGAATACGGACCATTTTAGGAAAATTTTGCATTAAACAAAAATTATAGATAATTATATTAGAAGTAACTTTTATTTAAAGAATTTTCTTCTCCAAACGTAAATAACAGATATATTCCATAAAATATAAAAATGACCACCTATAAAGTACCCCCCCCAGATGTTCCGACTCTGCCCAAAATCTAATCAGCTCATTGGACGCTGAAACAAAGCTTAAGTTTAAAATTTGGTGTTTTTCTGTGTATCGGTTCATGAGTTATGCGTTATACAGACAGACAGACACAGACACAGACACAGACACAGACACAGACACAGACACAGACACAGACACAGACACAGACACAGACACAGACACAGACACAGACACAGACACAGACACAGACACAGACACAGACACAGACACAGACACAGACACAGACACAGACACAGACACATACACAGACACAGACACAGACACACACACAGACACAGACACAGACACAGACACAGACACAGACACAGACACAGACACAGACACAGACACATACACAGACACATACACAGACACACACACACACACACACACACACACACACACACACACACACACACACACACACATACATACACATACACATACACATACACATACACATACACATACACATACACATACACATACACATACACATACACATACACATACACATACACATACACATACACATACACATACACATACACATACACATACACATACACATACACATACACATACACATACACATACACATACACATACACATACACATACACATACACATACACATACACATACACATACACATACACATACACATGCACATGCACATACACATACACATACACATACACATACACATACACATACACATACACATACACATACACATACACATACACATACACATACACATACACATACACATACACATACACATACACATACACATACACATACACATACACATACACATACACATACACATACACATACACATACACATACACATACACATACACATACACATACACATACACATACACATACACATACACATACACATACACATACACATACACATACACATACACATACACATACACATACACATACACATACACATACACATACACATACACATACACATACACATACACATACACATACACATACACATACACATACACACACACACACACACACACACACACACACACACACACACACACACACACACACACACACACACACACACACACACACACATCATCGCGAAAATAGTCAAAACGGATTCAGGGGACCTCAAAACGTAAAAATCCGTCGAAAACTCAAGGTCGAAAAAAATCATGGTTCCTATACTTTCCTTATATTTGTATACAGATAGGAAAGTAAAAGAAATTATCGGCGGTGGACTGATTTGAGAATGCGGCTATTATTCTAAACTGCTGAAGATTAACTATCATTAAAATAAACTGATTTAGGAAAAATTGACTTCATTACACTTGTAAGAGGATAACTCTCGACAATTTGTCTTGCCTTAGAATTAGGAATCGTTGCTTGGTTCAGATAGAAAAATTTGTCTTCGATTTCTAATTCTTCACCTTCGTGAATCCTACGAAATTGGCTCCCGAAAAGTAGCCAATTTCCAAATTTCGTAAATTCAATTTTTACTTTCCTATCTGTATACAGATATAAGGAAAGTATAGAAATCATGATTTTTTTCGACCTCGAGTTTTCGACGGATTTTTACGTTTTGAGGTCCCCTGAATCCGTTTTGACTATTTCGCGACGATGTGTGTGTGTGTGTGTGTGTGTGTGTGTGTGTGTGTGTGTGTGTGTGTGTGTGTGTGTGTGTGTGTGTGTGTGTGTGTGTGTGTGTGTGTGTGTGTGTGTGTGTGTGTGTGTGTGTGTGTGTGTGTGTGTGTGTGTGTGTGTGTGTGTGTGTGTGTGTGTGTGTGTGTGTGTGTGTGTGTGTGTGTGTGTGTGTGTGTGTGTGTGTGTGTGTGTGTGTGTGTGTGTGTGTGTGTGTGTGTGTGTGTGTGTGTGTGTGTGTGTGTGTGTGTGTGTGTGTGTGTGTGTGTGTGTGTGTGTGTGTGTGTGTGTGTGTGTGTGTGTGTGTGTGTGTGTGTGTGTGTGTGTGTGTGTGTGTGTGTGTGTGTGTGTGTGTGTGTGTGTGTGTGTGTGTGTGTGTGTGTGTGTGTGTGTGTGTGTGTGTGTGTGTGTGTGTGTGTGTGTGTGTGTGTGGTGTGTGTGTGTGTGTGTGTGTGTGTGTGTGTGTGTGTGTGTGTGTGTGTGTGTGTGTGTGTGTGTGTGTGTGTGTGTGTGTGTGTGTGTGTGTGTGTGTGTGTGTGTGTGTGTGTGTGTGTGTGTGTGTGTGTGTGTGTGTGTGTGTGTGTGTGTGTGTGTGTGTGTGTGTGTGTGTGTGTGTGTGTGTGTGTGTGTGTGTGTGTGTGTGTGTGTGTGTGTGTGTGTGTGTGTGTGTGTGTGTGTGTGTGTGTGTGTGTGTGTGTGTGTGTGTGTGTGTGTGTGTGTGTGTGTGTGTGTGTGTGTGTGTGTGTGTGTGTGTGTGTGTGTGTGTGTGTGTGTGTGTGTGTGTGTGTGTGTGTGTGTGTGTGTGTGTGTGTACGTCGCATAACTCATGAACCGATACACAGAAAAACACCAAATCTTAAACTTAAGCTTTGTTCCAGCGTCTAATGAACTGATTAGATTTTGGGCAGAGTCGGAACATCTAGGGGGGTACTTTATGGGAGGCCGTTTTTATATTTTGTGGAATATATCTGTTATTTATGTTTGGAGAAGAAAATTGTTTAAATAAAAGTTACTTCTAATATTATTATCTATAATTTTTGTTTAATGTCAAAATTTCCTGAAATGGTCCGTATTCGAGAAATTTGACAAAATGTGTAAAATTCTGATTTTTATGAAAATTGTTGAACTTAAAGTTGTTTGCGATATCGATCTCTATACTTTTTTTTTATACATGATTTTTCTAAAATAGACCGTAATGGAAAAGTGCTAAATTTAAATTTTTCAGTATTTTCGTTTTCAATGAATATCTATAGAAAAATGTTTCGAGGTAGATGTATGTGGACAATGTATATATTTAGTTTATCCTCTAAACATTTATAGAGATGCTGCAATAGGTTGTACAAAATAACCGGAAAAAGCCTATAATAACTAGATAGGAAAGTCATGTGTTGGACACATCAGATTTTTGGTAGTAGTATTTTACTTTGAAATGATGAATTAGATCGACTACTACTAGCCCTAACGGTTACTGTATTTAAATATGGTATTATACGCCGAGCAATTTCTAACTATTGCCTATAGTCTATAGTTAGGAATTGATCAAATGCACACTGATGTTAAATGATATAAAAGTATTAAAAAATTAGACTGACAAAAACGTCGGATAAATCTGACTTATTTATTTTCACCTCAAAAACAAAAAAAAAATACAATTTTCATGGAAACAACAACAATACAAAATACAAAAATATTTAACAACCTGTGTCGTCCCAACAACGAGTCAAAATCATCAGATTTGTACGGTGCTGTGTAGTTATCACGAGTCGCGCCATATAACCTTACAAATTTGGCAAACCTGGACCCAACGCGTTATATCTATAAGCATAATTTCGTTTAGCTTTAACATAAATTCGCATCACAAAAACTTTTACTTTGAAGTGACAAAACTAGAGCAGCCTTTCGGCCAGAGTTCCGGGCACAGCCCTTTGCTCAAATCTCCTTCTGTCGACTATTTAAATGAAAATTTAAGTATCAATTCCTTATTATTTTGAGGAATATTAACATATGTCCTTGAATAACATTAGTTCAATGAAAGTCATTAACTAGTTCTTTGATATTTTTTACTAGGTACGTTACTTTTAATTCAATTTATATTTAAACATTTCTTACATTTGGAATTTTTTTGGATTTTATTAATAATAACGGCAATTATTAATCATTAAGTTTTAAATTTTAAAATGAGCTAATTACTACCTATATTGATCTTACTTGATCACGGAAAACTTGAGATAGGAAAAATGAAAAAACAATTCTTTTGTATGGCTTTAAGAAATCAAATGTCATAATTTTATACACTTGTTTATTAAAATTTATTTTTATTTTATCACAGTCAACACTGAAATATACAATAAACGCTCTGTTAATAAAAAAATCGATTAAAACCACCACACGAAGGATTTTTTTATTTTATTAAACACATTCGGCTTAAATTTTTCTTTGGTATTGACCATTAACAGGAGGAACTGCGAGAGCTTTATAAAGAACGAGCACGCTTTAAATACCACTCTATTTGCGTGCGTCGGCGTCATGGGATTGCCAACGCCTTCTCTCTCTTATTCTCACTTCATATGAATAATCTTCTTTTTGTTGCTCATTATATTTGCACTATGCCAAGAAAAATTTAAGTCGAATCTATATGTTATTGAGATTGAGTTAATATATTTAATGTATATTTACCTATTAACACAAGGAAAAAGTTTATTTTCTGCAATAGTTTCGTACATTGATACGATTCCATCATCTTTGTCGTCGGAACATCGGCCACACTTAATACTTCGATTTATGTAGACTTTGACCGGTTTAACGGATAAATACTTGAAACAAACCGAACATAGTAAATTATTTAACACTTCCTCTGGCAATAAGAACATTTTTTAAATGAAAATATGTACGCAAAATATTTTACTTCAAATAGCTATAAAATTCTAACGACTTGCTTTGAAAAATGGCAATAAATCAATTTAAATTGATAAGATAAAAATAAGTGTCATTGTTTGTTTAAAATCAATAAATATCTAAAATAAACCAGATTATCGGAGGAGAATTGAATTTACAAAAATATCTTGCCTATTATGTTTTCTCCCTGTTACCATAGTTATGTTTGAATTATCGTTCAAAGTTTTTTGTCAAAAAGGGTTACAAAAAAAAAGTTGCATTTGTCCGAAGGTGCCCCATGGTGGGGCAGTTCTGGACGAACATGGGGTAGCTTCGGACATATACAATAATAACAGGTTTTTCTTCGAAAAATATAATTAAATTATACATAACTTCTAACAAAAGTTTAGGTACCTACATATCTTAAACTTTGAGGAACTTTGGTACCTACTAAACTAAAAAAACAACAAAATATATTCTGAGAAACATCATAGAACTAAAACAAAAAAATAGTTTTCGCGTCAGAAGAAAGTTTTAGAACTAATAGACTAAATAAAAATGCATACGTATTTATTTTAAAATTAGAGAACTAAAATTTACGCTAAATTTAAAAAAAATTGCCAGGCGGGTATTGCCAGCAACAGAAGTTGACCTGGGGAGTTTTGCCTCAATTTCGGATCTTGCAATAGTGGAGATGTCATCAACATCAGGGAAATGGAATCGATTGTGCAAATGGTTCAAATATTTTACAACAAATTCGCCATAGGTACTCTGCAAGCTGTATTACTTTTTTTTATGTAATTCCTGTAAAAATAAAATTGATATCGTCGATAAATCAATAAATGAGCAATTCAAAGAAAAAGTTGATGGCATCAACAACAATATTATTAAAATGATAGCTGATGTTGTTACATCTACAATTTTTGAAAACTTTCAAAAATAAATTACCTAAAAATTACAATCGTCTTTCCAGTTAATTGAAACTAGCCTAAAAGAATTAATATCTGAGAAAATTATCAGCAGTAATGAATCGACTTTTGCTGATATTGCTTCGAATTCTAAATTTGTGCTTCATCCTAAAAATACAGTCCAACCGATATCTACAACAAAATCTAAAGTTCTGCGAAGTGTTGATCCCATAAAGGCCAATATTAATGTCTCCAATGTCACTGGAACTCGTCAAGCTGGGTTAGTCATTAGTTGTGGAAATAAAGATGACTCTTCCAAATTTCAATATATCCTCAACACTAATCTAGGTGACAAATATGATGTGAAATATATCTCCTCTCTCCATCCACGAATCAAGATCGCTAATATGTCTGAAAAATTTGATGATGACACTCTTTTGGACTATCTTAAACAACAAAATAAATCCTGTTTTACTGAAAATTCTGCTCCCAAAATAATTTACGTTAAACCGCACTTAAAAAATAGCAAACTGTTCCAAGCTGTCGTCCAGGTGGATGCAAATACTTACCACAAAGCTATGAAATTAGGTAAACTAACCGTCGGTTTTGATTTTGATTGTCCTGTTTACTGCGCTGTGGAACCACGTAGGTGTTTTAATTGTTGAGGTCTTCACCATTTATCAAATCAATGCAGTAATAATTGTTATTTCTTGTAAGAGCAACATAGAATTTATGTGTGCTCAAACAAAAATGGAACTTTCGGTAATTGTCCAAAATATTTTTTTCAATTAAATGATACATATGTTCCAGTTATATCCGAGAAATCTCGGGTTATATATTGTTCATTAAAGAACAAAATAAAGTCAACTTATGTGAAATTGCTACAAATTTTAATTGAAAAAAGTAGCGTATTTAGATTCGTTTGGCGTCCCGACACCATAGTCATTAATTTTGAAGAAGAAATACATTCTGTTGTTACAACCATTTTTCCACGCACCAAAAGTATAGGATGTAGATTCCATCTGGCACAATCTTGGTAAGAACAAATTTATTTCATTCTCTAGTGTAATAATTGTTTTTTAAATACTTATCCATTTTTACTTTTCCTCAATTATACGAGGCCTCAATTATACATACATAGGTATACAATGTCTCCAAAAAAGTTTTATTCAAATAGGAAAACAGTTTATTTTACATTTCACCAAAAAATTATTCTTTATGAAAATCTTTGCATCCAGACGAAGTAGGAGATGCATTTGCTTTTGATTTTGCAGAAGATATGCCTCACAAGTATTACAAATTAAAAATTTAAAAAAACCGACTTCAAAAACGTGCAGATGCCATCACCACATCTTAACCAAATTTATATGGGACCACCCCTGAGGTACCCCCCCTACTAACAAAAAAGAATCGTATAAATCGGACAAGGTGGTAAAGCATTATCGCTAAACATACATAAAAAATGAAGAGTTTGAGGATTTTCTCATGGATCCAATTATAAGATTTTAATCAAATTTATATGGGACCACCCCTAAAGTAGCCCCATTCTAACAAAAAAAGAATTATTGAAATCGGACACCGTGTTAAAAAATTATCGCTGAACATACATAAAAAATGAAGAGTTTGAGGATTTTCTCATGTACCCAATTATTAGATTTTGACTAAATTTATATGGGACCACCCCTGAAATACCCCCTTTCTAACAAAAAAAGAATCATTGAAATCGGACACCGTGTTAAAGAATAATCGCTGAACATACATAAAAAAAAAATATCGCGACGAATTGATAACCTCCTCCTTTTTTGAAGTCGGTTAAAAAAGACTCTACATGTCCCAAATGTGCCTCCAATCACGATGTAAAAGATTGTAACTCTGCTAGTTTAAAATGTGTAAAATGTGCTAATCTCAAATCCAACCATAACATTTCTGTTGATCATGTCGCTTGGGATAAAGAATGTCACTTCTATAAGAGAGCACAGACAAAATTTAGAGATAGCCTTAGATTATACAAACCTTAGATGGAACATAAGACACTGCGCATAATCCCATTTCAAAATGATTCACACCCACCAATCACAGTTGAGAACATTACATGTCAGACCGTTGTCCATCCAAATTTAATGTGTCAACGAGAATTAATTTGGTATTTTAGTGACTTAAATTTTGGAAATTAACGTTGAAAATGCCAAGATGTGTTGTAAAAAGCTTTATTTATAATAAACCTGCGAAATGTGACGGAGATAAAAGAAACTTATATTTATTTCGGTGAGATATTTATTTTTTAAAGATTCTGTTGACGTCCATATTTGTTGATTTGAAAATAAACAGAATCGGACTTGGTCATTGGTACATGTTATAAGTAGCAAATAAAGGTTATTATTATAAACTGTTTACTATTTCTTGTTTCATAGGGAATCTTTTTTTAGGAAGTGAAAAGAGAAACATACAATCAAATACAAAAATATCAATTTCATTGCCAATTTATTCGTTTCAAACTTCACAACTGGTTTCAATAGTTTTCTCAAAACTATTTATTTAGTAATTTTCTATAATAGTGTTACTCTAAGTGTAAAGCCAAAGTTTCCGCGAAGAAAATAATCACAATAAAAAAAAACAGTACTATCGCCACAAAATGGAGGGACCTGGCTTGAGGACCATTTCTTGGGAAGTAATTTTTTTAAGTCACCAACAGGAAGGAGGATATGATTTTGCTTTAGGCCTTTTTTTTTATTTAATTTTTTATGGGTGAAATAGATTTGGGATAATTTTTGCAAGGAATCTTTGGAATAAATCAAAAATAAATGATGCTCTTGTGCATTTTCAGCCAATTAAATTATTCGTAGATGCATCAAATGTGGGAATAAGGGCCATGATATGTCATGTTTTTGAAAAAAATATTGAGAAATCTATGGCTTCTGCTTCGCGTACCTTATCAAAGTCCGAACAAAAATATTCCCAAATTGAAAGAGAGATCCTTGCAATAATTTTTGGCTTAAATAAATTTAATGAATATTTATATGGACATTTGCATAAAGTAGAACATTATGCAACTGATTACGAAAAGTTGATTATGTCATCAGTTACGAAATGATTATAAATAAAACTGCCTCTTTTTTGGTTTCTAAGTTGAAAAATCGTAAAATCGAGAAATTGAGATACCGAGAAATCGAAAAATCGAGAAATCAAGTAATCGAAAAATCTAAAAATAAAAAATTGAAAAATCCAATAATCCAAAAAACGAAAAATCGAAAAAACCAAATATCGAAAAAGAGGCAATGAATAGTGACATTTCACATTTGAAAATATGACATTACGTTTAAAAACAAAAAAAGAGAAGCTGTAAATTGCGTTTAATTTTTAAAATAACACCGTTATTGAAAACTGCCCAGAAATGTTGGGGGTAAAATTTTGACGTACTTCTTTAAGGATAATGGGTAAAAATGTTTTTTTTTCAAATTTCTCGCGGGTAATGTCAAAAATTAGATCGGCAAAACTGCACATGTCCCTTATTTTTATTATTACTATTGAAAAAAAAACGTCGTAGGGCAATCAAATACAACAATTTTCTAAAATATTTGATTGGAAGTACCTACACAAGAATGATGGTGAATCATTTTTCAACACAATTTTATAAATAATCACGTCAAAATTAGAAAAAATCTTGTATATAAACACGTTACGAAATGCCGTTTTGTGTAAGTCGTTCATGTTGCGGGAACTCGCTCCGCTCGTTTTGCAAATATTTACTCGTTACACAAAATAAGGCATTTCGTAACTGGTTACATAAATAACTATTAATTGACTTTCTAATATTTTAATTCATTGGACGGTATTTTCCGTAAATAATTAAATCATAAATAATTACCAGGATATAAGTACAAAAACATTTTTTTCTCTTAGAACAGTAGGCCTATGTCAAATAAACTTAAAATATTATAACGAACGAAAAGGTAACCCATTTCTAATCAAATTTAGTTATTTATTTTATTTTGGTGTGATCGTAGAAAAAATATTGTGTGTAATTCGAGCAAAAAGTACTTATAAACTTTTACTTAGGGTCGATTTCACCGTTTTATTAAACGAAGTTTAAAATACTAAACGAAGATTAAAATGACATTTTTATATTAACAAAAACGAAGTTTAAATTACTAAATGGAGTTTAAAATGACATTT